TGTCACCATGGAGGTAGCAGGAGACATGACCATGGCAGCATTGAATGACACCTTCATGGAGGAAGACTTATGAGTGTACTCAAATGGCTCAGCTATTGACAGAGGAGTAGGCAGAGCTGTAGTATTGATGAGAAATGATAAGATAGTGAGAAAAAAACTGTTCCACCTAGAAAGTAACCAAGAGCATATAGTTTATGAGGGAGAGTTAGTGGGGATGATATTAGTGATAGAGATGCTAAGAGAATGAGGAGAAGAAAGAACCATGACCCTAGGTGTTGACAACCAGGCAGTCATTTACACCACCAAAGTGTTTATCTCCAAGCCTGAGCACTACTACATGAACAAGTTCCATGGCGACCTATGCAGACTGATACCAGCACATGACGAGCATAAGCTGAAGATACAGCGAACACCTGGTCATTAGGGAATACCAGGCAATGGAGCAGCTGATGAGCAAGCCAAAATGGCAGCAAGAGGAGAGAGCAGCACACCCAATGGATTCCAAAAGTCCCTCCATGCCATGAGGAACAATGCCATAGCTACCCTGCCAGTCAGCAAATCAGCCCTAAAGCACCAGTTCAGAGGAGTAATTAAGGCCAAAGCAGCAACCATCATAAAGAACTCACCATGCTACAAACATCTCCATGACATCAACATAACAGCCTCATCAAAACATTTTTCTAAACTAGTAGAAAAGCTTTCATAATAACACTCATCCCTGCTCTTCTAACTCTGTACAGGACATACACCACTGAATAAGCACTTACACCGAATCTTGAAGGTTCCCAGTCCCATCTGCCAGTAATGTCATTGTCATGAAGAAACAGTCCATCACTTCCTACTCACCTGCCCAAAATATGTTAGACAGTGACTCACACTCCAAAATGAAACCAGCCCCCAAGCCACCCATCTCAAGAACCTGCTGAACAATCAGAAATGCATCAAACCCCTACTTCACTTCATTGTAAGTATGCATAGACTGGAACAGATCTTCAGAGATGTCATGCCCCCTGTGGACAAGGAAGAGGAAAAATGTATGCATGCAAACTCTAAATTCTATTGCCTTTAGCTGGCCTTACCCATTCTTGTTTCACATCTGGACCAATGAACACGCACCAAATGATAATTCTGAGCTAAATGTAAACTAAATAGTAAAAACCTGTATGTTTTGTCTACCATATGGCACCACCCCAACAGACAATGAACACTGATTGAAAAATAATATTATGATACCTTATATTTACTGTACTATAGGCTATAACCTAGGCTGGCACGTATCCTGCCTTATCCTGTCCCACACTTAATTCTGGCAGTTCCTGCAAATTACCCATTGTAGCACTCGGGTTGGCACTGGGCACGTATCATGCCAATCTCACAGGTATCTCACACTATACTCCTCGACACTCCTCTTACCTTCCAAGAGTTCTGTCACTCATTCAAGTCATCCGAAGGTTGTCCGTCTGTTTCCGAAGCCAGTTTTCACTTGTGATCCTCCATATCATGTCCCATCCATGTCTGTTTGACTTCGCTGGTGCGTTTTCATTTCACTTGTCTGTTATTGATTATGTCTTAGGGGCACATACATTGTCGGCCTATTGAAAGCTTGATTAATATGTATAGCAGCATGCCTCACATGTTATTACATGCATATCTCTGTAGTGGCTAGCCTCGAGTCTTATTACATTTTGGATAGCTTATCTCGCTACTGTTCTTGCCTACACAGTTTCTGGACCTTCATGCTGTAGGATATAATCTGGCTTGCTAGTTACTTGCACTTTACTTTACTTTACTTCCCTTGCTACAAGTCATAGTTAGTAGAGTCACTTTCGGATAGTTGAACTTCACGCAATCGATCTTTTGTTCATTTGGAATGATTGTTTGGCTTAACCACTGCTATTTTGTACCTCACTATCTCTTAGTTCTTTCGATAGGCTTTGCTTAGTTATACTTCGTTACTTCTGCAAGTCTTATACTTCAACATACCCACCATATTTCACTCTCAGAACCTTTGCTAATCATTGGAAGCTCTTCAGACACTTTGTGCAACCTTGGACCTTCATTTCTTGACTTTGGATACATCGGACAAGTACTTCAGTACTTTGGACACATCCTTGGAACATTGAATGTACTTTGGGTGACTTTTTCCTTCTCTCATCTTCGATCTTAACAAGACAATCCCTTGCATTTTATATCAAGAGATAGTTCTATAGGTAGTCTCTTTGGGACAAACATCATACTTGCACCTTGAGTTCTAAGATAACCACATTTGTAGCGCCTATATAGAATCAACTCTTTACATCGTCTATGCTTACACATGTACAAATTTAAGGACAAGCACTTACATGGTCAAGCAGCATCCACCCATGCCCAAAATTTGATCACAAGTGTCAAGGTAAAGAAAGATGCAGCAGTGGACAAATACCAATATGCACACAGAGCACTGGAGTTGCTAAGCTCTTGGGTGAATAAGATGGGCTGGGAGGAAAGACTTCGATCTCTCAGACACAAGGATGCTCAACCAATGGGCAATTTTGTGGCTGGCTGTTCTCAGGGCACTGGTACAATATTATGGATCTGGCTGGTATCAGATAGTAACACTAGTCACTCTGAGAATGAGGATGTTCAAGACTGTAAGTGTTTTAAATAGATGACATGATCTCTGGCTCAGTTTTATTTAGGTGTCTTCTGCGTTGAGTGGTATAAGGCATGTGCTCACACAGCTCAATGGTTTGAGCAAGTAGAGTTACTAGCTGAAAAAATGAGACAAGTACTGGCCTTTATGAAGTGGTAAGGCAACTGGTGGCAAGAGTGTATAGTTCTGCGCCCATTGGAGAAGATAACCCAGCAAGAGGGCTTATGTGCATATATATACCGTCAAGCTGCCCTCCGTTTTGTAATGTGAAATTTGTTCCAAGCTCATTGGAACTTTGTTTCTCAACTCAATCTTGTGGTCTCAGAGTCTGTGGTGAATGATGATGGTAGTCCTTCAATTGATGCGCCTCCTGTGGTTGTAGAATTTGAAGAGTAGCACAGTCTATGTACTAGGTAGAATCAGAATAGGCACATTAATGACATAATCTTGCAATCCTGATGACACTCCAAACTTGGCACAATGATCTCATCAGTGGAAAGGTATTATAACAAGGGAACATATAGTACTACCATACATGGGCATGGCTAAGTAATGTAGTAGGGTCATAGGGAACCTATAGTCCACAATACAGTGATGTATCACACTATCTGTAGCCCCCAGCAATTATTGTATCTTCAATTATTTGCAGTTATAGGTAGTGATACATCAAACATACAGGTACAGGTGATATTAGCAAACTTTCAAACTTAAATCACATGATAACAATAACTTACTGTGATTTCATTCTGACATATCTCATGGTATGATGTACTAAGAAGCTGATACCAATTTGCCAGATGCAACAGAAGCATGAACAGGAACTTTGGGAAGCAATACAAAATACTAGTGTTGAGCTTAACTGTGAGAAAGTCATTCATCATTGTCCAGTGCAACAAATACTACTGCTTACATTGCTAAGCCACAGCTTAGGCTTTACGAAATTGAAGCCTAGGCCAAAGCCCTGGTCAGGCCATGTCCTAGGGCTGGACTTGGCCTAGCCTGGGGCTTGAAGCCAAGCCAGAATATTACTATTGCAGCATATCCTTAGTCATACCAAGTGTCAACTATTTTGTCTAATGAGGAATGTCAGACTTCTATAGAACTTTTCACAGAAGTCATGATAGCTGCCACAATCCAGGGTATTCCATCAAGCTCATCACCTAAAAATAACCATTAATGACAGTGTAAAGAAAATATCAATACTTACTTGGTCATTAACCTGACAAGCTGCCAGTGCATCTCATCAATGATAAAATCTGGAATGCAATCTGTGGGCACTAGAACTAATATTCCAGGTTATAAACCAAAACCAGGAGGAGTATTGAATGATGCAAGCATCATATATAAATGGTAAGAAGTGCATGGATCAATTTATTTTGGGTTCATATGTCGCTGACCTAATATGTCCATTATATCCCTTATGTTTATTTATTTATATGTGTTATAAATTCAACAGTTGCAGCTGCACACCGCCTTGATTCAAGTACATTTGCATTAAGATGGCATACTCAGAATCAACAGTGGCTATGACTTGGCTCTGCCACTGCTTTGGTAAACTGATACAGTTGATGAATATGGAGGATAAAACATGGCTCTTTCTCTGTCTGAGGCTGTTAAAAGTTCTATTGGGCATCATGTGATGCACTTGGTCGTGCTGGTAATCCACATTTATTTGCTACATCACTCATATGAACAGTTCAGGCCCTAGGGCAGATCTGTGTGAGATTCTGTGTGCCCCACATCTGTTTGCTGTGACACACATGTATTATAATGCACTGGTAGGGCACAATCCATAATATCAATTTAAGATACTTGGATGCAGAATCCCTTACATCATGTCCAATCATACCAGCACCTTGGCCATAGTCCATGTCTGGGAGTTTTGACAGCCTTAGATAAAGAAAGAGTCATCACTACCTCAAATCAGTGTGCATACCCTCAGAACATAAGACCAGGCATGAGACTATGCTTTTTGAGCCAGAGGATGGACACTGCTAAAGAGCAAGCAAGCAAAACCCGCCTTGCAAACACCGAGAGAGGTGGGGAGAAGGTCACCCTAGGAAGCAGTTTGGCAGCCCTGCTTGTTGGGAAAGAGAGTAAGACAGTAAATTGCAGGACATCAAGAAGGATTATGAAGATGACAGATAAGATAAGTTTTGGGCAGATGAGAATCACAGACTGTGCATTAAGAATAAGGTAATAAGGTAGTCAATCTCTGAAGCCCATGATCTGAGTCATAGCAGTCTACATAGTAATACCACTGGAGCACCATTTACTCATCCACTGACCTGTTATCAATGTCATCACTGCCAGTGTGCGAGTAACCTGCCTCTAAGTTTTCCAATGTTTGAAGAGTGATTTGGATAGCTGACATGTCACAGAGCTTCATTGAGTGACAGATTGCTGAGCATTCATGAGAATCCACGAAATCATGAAGACCCTCGAACTCATGGTCTCTGAGTCCAGATTTACCGTGAAAGCTAGATTTAGTGTAGCATTACATTAAATATGATAAGGCGCACCTGAGTGGTGTATGTGTCATGGGATCAAACAATGTCAGAACAGTTTCCGTATTATGTAAAATACCATGATTAATTGAACCTAGGAAGAGGAATGAATAACTGCAGTGAAGTATGAATCAATGCATACCTTGGAGATCTGCAAACATATATTCACATGCAGAACTCTCTAACCAAAAGTGGCTAAAAGCCATGATAGTCGCAGAGCGCTTGTCAGTGTGGTTACAAATGCCAAGAGTGCCTGAGAATTTGAGCACAGCAGAAGAAACTTGGCGAGGTATTGGAGCCTAAAGCTCTGCATCAACTAACTTAATCTACATTAGAACAGTAGATTTTGATTACAAAGCCATTGGAAACTTGAAATGCTAATAATCTGGTTAGATATTGCTCTTCCAAAGATTTATCTCTCAACAAACTTACCAGCAGTGTCAACACCTTCCTGAATGACATGCTGTGCAAACTTGGTTTCAAAATAGCTTATCTGTTGACCTACACCAAACTGGTTTGGTGCATGGATGACTAATGCTCTCCCACAAGCCTGATACTCTAGAAACCAATATGAAACCATCTTCCTTTACTTTATAGTCCAGACTGCAGCTCAGACAACATTTTCATTTCATTGCTCAAATAGACTCAGATAGGCTGAATATTTTTGTATATTTAATTCTGCAATAAATATTGCTTAGTCATCAACAACAATGACTCAGACTAAATCCCACACATGTCAGATAACTGTGAAAAATAGTTCTTACATGAATTGTATTATGAAAACTCTCTTAAAAACCCTAAATACACGGCTCACATTATTTCTATGATCAATGAAGTAACATCAGAACAAAGCACCAACAAATCATGAATATTTCTTTTACATAATACAATCAGCTTGTTACATAACCTTGGCCACAGGATACTAACTCATATGATTCTAACAGTCAGGTGACCTATGACCCAACCCAAGTCATGACAAAGCAACCTCCTGGGATGACTAAAGTCTGATAACACAAGTTATAATGCACATGACTCACAACAAATAGTTATTGGTACAATCTGACTAAGCCCATTTCCCTTAGAACGTGGGGAAAAGTAGCACAGCCACCATAATTTATCTATATAAGACCCTACTTTTTTGCCCATAAAATAATAAACCCAGAGGAAACTTTTACCCCACAGAATAAAATTGAGTGTGAAGTGTGATCAGTGTCAACAACAGTGACAAAAGCTGTTAAGCAACTAACTGAGAGGTCATTGTAAGCAACATCCAGCAATACCTTGAGCTCACTGTGCTCAACAGTGAGCAAACTTTTTCTTTGATTTTCTGCTGGTGAATCTATAGTTTTTTTTCTTCTCTCTTTCTTTCCTTTTCTTCTGTTTTTTTCTGTTTTTTTTTTTAGTTCATTCACGTCTTAGTGTTATTATTCTGAATTTGTTCCAGGATTTTTGTGTTGTCTTTATGTCCATCTAAGCAAAAACTTAGTGGGAAGAGTTCAGAAGTTGATAGTGACGCTTGACCTCACTCATCTGAGTAGTAATACTGAGCCAGGGTTTTCTTTGCTGCTAAACTTTAGTTGTTAAATAGGGGACTTAGTACTAAAATCCAAGGACATCTGTTCCTGATTCTGTTTAATATTCATCATGAGTTCCTTGGCAGCAGGTTCAGTAGTAAGCTAAGAGTTCTACTGAGCATTGATTAGTCCTGACCTTTGATTCTACCTGTTTGTGCTGAGGGGGTGATTATTATAACTTCACACAACTTTCTGTAGTGAATTTATTACAAGAAGCATTGTTACTGAAGGAAGGGTTTCTCTTACCATTTGATTTCTTTTTGTAGCACCATACTGTTGGGCTGACTTTTATTTTTTTTAATCACAGCCATACCATTGGAGTGATTCATTTTCTTTTGTCATCACCATACCATTGGGCTGACTATATTCTGTTTATTTTCTATTGCATCCATATTGTTGGATTGACTGGTGTTGATTACTGACCTCAAAGAAAGTACTTTAATCTGAACATAGCTTGGGGAAGTGTAAACAGCTACTCACAAACAACTACATTATCAGTCATTAGTATTTGTCTAAATCACTGACCGTGGAGATATTTGATTTTGTAGGTGTTTATCTATAGATCATCTATCTAAGAAGACACCATTTGAGACGGATCAGATCAGTGGTGAGAAATTTACAAGCATCTTTTATTGTGAGCTGTCCACGACTGTGACCAATGTCAACAAGCTTCTTTGCCACATATTCCTTGTTTTCTATGACCCACTGTTAGAGGGAGTACCATCATTAGTCCACATGAATCTGTTCAACATTGACCTTTCCTCATCAGATGGATATCTTTGGTCTTGCCACAGTCGGCTGCAGAGAGAAACAGGGCATTGTGTACCAGAAAGCCTTATTCTGCAGTGCCCTGCTCAGTGAGTGTATATTTTTCATCTTGATCAATCATGCAAATTGTTCATTTGAATGTGATTTTGTCTGAGGTAGAGACTGAAGGAGTGCATGCAGTCACAAGGTCATGCTGAAATGAAGATGTTAGAATGGTACTATTCTCATCATCTGTCAATTAAATCTAAGACTTATGAGTGCTAGTTCATTGTTACTGGTCTGTGAAACTCACTTCTCGACCGCTTAGCAGCTGATGATTGGCCTTCAGTAACAGCACCATGTCCACAGATACATTTTTCTCTAGTCTGGCCGCTTGACATTGATTTTCTCTTGTTACCACTCCCAGAATGATCTTCACAAGTGTATTCTTCATACTGTTGCAATCATTGAGAATATGAATACTAAGTAGATGGAAGACCAACATTACCTGGTCTGTATCAATGAATAACTCAAGTGAAATCGCATGTCCAGACTTATTTCCCTTCAGCACTCCAACAGGAACTTGAATATGGGATGCTTGAGTGTGAGGATGATTGTACTTGTTGTACCAATCATGAAGACTCATCATCCCTATGCCTGAATCAGAAAGCACAAGATTTCCTCACACCCTTAGCTCAGTCTCACTGCTACACTCTAATGGTGAATTAGGTTGCACTGAAATAGTATACAAGGAACTCACACAAGCAGATCTGAGATGTGTTTCGAAGTCCACTTCGGGTTGACAAGCTTTATGACATTTTCATGAAGAGCTGGAGAGCAAGGGTTATTGAGTATGTGCGACCACTGATGTGAAAAGAACACCATACTGACAAAAGTCATGGTTTCTGCATAGGATGCACAATATGTGCCAAGTGTGCAGTTGACAGAGCTGGGCTTTTGGCTAAGGCGACACTCAACATAGATGGTGATACTACCTGGTTTTCCATTGTTCTCTCTGAGATTGTTAAGCTCCAACTCAGGTGTTGATGGACCAAGTGGTTGATGCAAGCATCCTTTGATTATGTTGCATCGACGAGCCTGCAATGCCACAGCTTCTGGGTCAGATGTACCATTTTCTTCATGTGCTACAATATTGGAGTGAGTCCACAGATCACCAGCATATATCTTCACTAACCTCTGTGCTTACACAATCCACATAGGTCACCAATGTGCGTCCCACAGATACCACATTGAAAGCATTGCTTCAATGTCTCCTGGAAAAGTTTGATCAGAATCAGGCAGCATCTCAGTTTGAGCAATCAGCACCTTGAGTCATAAAACTTTATCATCTGTGAGTCCTTGCTTCTTCAGTTTCTTGCACAACTGACAGAGTAGGGTTTCAGGCAACATCTGAGGAAAAATGACACTACAGCCATCATGATCGTTGTCTGGTCCTCCATAAGGCTGAGCAGGGCGAGCACTAGTAGTATGAGCTTGAGACATGGTGGTGACAATGCAGTATCTGGTGGGTTGTATTTCAACTATTTATTTCTGAAGTCTATGCCGTCTCTGGTGCCTCATGAAACCCTACTAATATGCTAAGGCTGGCCATTTGGTGTCACATGCACTCCAACCCATCCATGTTATTTGGACGTGCTGTGAAGAAGTAATAGTAGCTGGCTAGCAAGAAAGCTAGAGCACTAATAAATCCAACTGAGTGTGGGTGTGCTGTCTTGACCCAAGAGGATTGCTATGAAGCACTTCCTTCAAGTAAAATGCGAAGGGAGTAAATGCGGTGTAGGACTTGGAGTCCTTGTAGCCTCGTAGAAATTATTTTGCAGTGTCCCTTAGGTCCTCACACCATGCGCACTATTACTAACCCAGCGTGCATCCTTTCTGTTATCAGCCGATGGCTGCAGCTCATGCGCGCGCATCAGCTCGCGCTGGCTTTTCTTCGGTTTTATCACATGTCCTTCCTCCATCCTATCCATGTCCTCCGCTTGTCCATTGGTGTGTATTTAATCTCATTTGCATTAGACTAACCATATTTCCGAAGCTATATCGTTTATATTTTCATTACTTGTGTTATGGACCCTTGTTACATATTACCGCTACCTACTTGGCTCCGAACAGTGCTTCGTGCATTATCATATATACTTAGTACTCAGGACTTTTCATGTATTCTTTTTACCTCCCATCAAAATTATCATCCATTTTCACACAGCACTTAACTGAAAATCTAAACCTTCGGCCTACCCTTGTGCGCACATCTCTAACAGCCACACTAACATTCGCACTTTGTTCATTGCACCTACCGTCAAATACTCCTCCTGTTTCACCACCACATCGCATTGCTTTTGCATTTGCAAAACTTTCATATATATCCTTCAGCTCGACAGCACACTTTCATGCTTCATCGCACCTTTGGCTGCTCAGCCATGCATCATATCACACTTTCGGCAGCTTGCTCACACTCGCATCACATCAACGCAAATTCTCATGCTCCCTCTATTCTCAGTTACCCCTACTAGTTTCAAGGTTTCCCCTCATATTTTACTTAGAGGAATCGTTCTCAGTAGCAATCCCCTTGGGCCAAATCTATACTCGCATCCAGAGGTCGATTTGAGTTTTACCCCACTTCACCCTTTCTCCCCCTTTTACCCCTTCTCATCTAGCTATCATTCCTCACACACAGTGGATGGAAAGGACTAAGGCAATCTTGGAAATGTCAATCCACCGATGAGAGCAAAGGCAAGACTGCAGGTCTGGTGAGAGTGTGATGCAAAATAGATGAAAGAAAGATGATCCTAGGTAAAGAGCAGTGGGTTCCAGGTAAAGCGCAGTTCCGCAGGTAGCAGCTAGGTATAGACGAGGTTTATGGCCGAAATGTTACAGTCAACTATAACATCCGCATGAGTCCCCGCTCTGCTAGACTCACCGACATGGTGGGACACCGCCAGAACCTAGAATGACAGTGGTCTGGACCACTATGACATTACCTTGGCCTAGAAGGCCTGCCCCTGACGATCATGAAGGCTGTCCACCTCATGTAGACCTAGAGCGCCACATGGTGCCTCATGCTTGATTAGAGGTTAAGCCTTATGTATCTTATCTGACCTCATGGACCGACTCATGTACAATTATCTCTGACTCACCATGACTCGCATAGATCCCCAGATACAAGCTGAGCCCGAACACTTATGTACAGACATATATAAGTAGACAGATCATTGTTGTATTTCTTCACTTTGATCTACTTGGTTTTCCTTTGAAACTCATGCTCAACTAAGTCTCCAACTTGGTTGTCTTTGACCACACTTCTAAGAAGGCCACCCACTGACTTAGTTGATCCCATTAGCCCTGCATCTTGATGAGGCGCGCCTTACCAAGATAGCCGGAGGGAACCCTTTGTATTCTGCTGAGGTACCTTGAACAGCACATTTGTGCCCATACCGTTAGAACCATCCAAGTCTGTAACACGAGGTATAACTAGGTAAAAGTGCTAAGTCAGAACCTGAGAGGAGTTTGGATCTGCGCAGAGCCTAGGTAAGCAAACTTAGAGGCGCATTCTCGGAGCGGTCAAGAATACATGGGTTCAGAGTGAGAGTGAACAAAGCTTGTCAATTTGAACAATGTACTGAGAACTTCTAAGGTGACTCCACAAAATAAAGGTAGTGTCCAAGGGAAGGGAAGTGCCATACTATATGTAGTGTGCGAGGTTTTATCCTACTGCATGAGCGTCCAGAACCTGTAGGCGAGAACTGTAGTGATGAAAATGAGGCAGATAAATAATATGTAATGAACTACATGCAGAACAGAATACGTGGTATAGGTTTACAACTCAGAGTGGTGCTATAGGCTCCAAACTGATATCTTTATGTTGTAGGTCATGCACTGCCTATCAGTTATACTTGCAGAACAAGTGTGTTTGACCCTAAAGGGGAAGCTAGTGCAGCAAAGGTCTAGAAATAGGCACTGAAGGTGCTGCTTATCAGCTGATGCGAAGTGTGGGACGGGTGCGCGCATGTAGCATGGGAACATAGTGGTGTCTGAAAGCCAAAGGTGAGGGAAAGATGCGGCTGCAAAGCGGTTGATGCACAAGGGGTTTGGATGATAATAGAGATGAAGGACAATAGAAATAGCTGTAGAGTAAGGTGATAACAGATACAATGCGGGCAGTAAATAGATAATGATTGCCAATAGCTACCAACTGTAGGTTAATGGGAGTTGCTACTGGAACATCCAGAAAACAAGCTACTGAATGATATGTACTGCTAGTGCTTAAGTATTGCGCTAAGCGCTGTCATGCAGAACTGAGCCAATGTGCTACCGAGTTAGGCATGTAAAGCTATATATAAATAAAGGTGGTGCGATGTGGAAATGGTCTGATATGTAAATATAATCATGGAATAACATACCATTGGGTTGGTTTTGGACTAGGGATAGATGTGAAACATCAGCCGATGAAGCATGAAAAAGCATGGCTGTGCATGCGCACAGGAATGCTGCGGCTGTCGCGGGAAAGTAGTGGCCACTAAGTGCGGCTCATGGGAAAGTTGTGCTTCATATAGTAAAGCAATAGGATGCTGAGGGATACCACAAAAATAGCCTCTACAAGGCTGTAAGGACTTCCAGTCCTACAGCGGATACATGTAATAAGCCTTGCTATCATTTAGTCAAACCGAGAGAGAAAATGAACATGCACCAGCAGAGATAGGTGGACATGGAAAGGACATGGATGGACAGCGTGGGATAGGAATGCAAGGTGTGTGGAGCATAGAGCAGATACAAGTGCAGAGATATGCCAGGTAATGTTGGCCAAGAAGTCTTTGCCATTAAGAATACCAGGAGATGAGGTGGAACCTATATCCTTCAATACCCCTTGACACAAATATCAAAAGACACACTTTGCAGCCCAGGGAGGATGTGAGTGTCACACTGCTGAGTCATTGCTTGAGTTTGTTGCCTCTCATCTTTTCTCAATCACTGATCATTGTGTATAGCTAGCAGGCCAAGTCATTACATCACACTTAAGGACAACATATACAAACACAACAGAACATGTTTGAATTGATTATAATCAGACTATGACAAGGTGCTCTAGGATATCCACAACCATGATAAATATATCCTATGCATTGGAAAGAGTAATCTCAGGAAAGCCAAGACTACAGAATGCATCATCCGCCATCGCCTGAAACTCGTCACTGACAAACTGGAATGCAGAGTCCATAGCCTCATTCCCACCAAGTTCCTCTCAAAGTTCATGCACTGAATTCATATCCACAGCAATTGAGCAATCTCATGCAACAGCACGAACACTTTCTGGAGCAAGCCATATGTGTCATGGAGATGTTCCTGTTTGGAGAACCTTCTTCTTTTGAGAAGACAAGTGGTGGTTGTTCCAGTATAGTCAGAACTCATCCAAGTGCTGTTGGACAAGAGGTGGCCATAACCAATTAAAAACTTGCCTATGAATACTAGCTCAGTCATGATGTCAGGAATATAACAAGAGTCATAGATGAATGCACTCATGGAGTGGATTATTTGAATTATATAAACCCTCGTCTCAACCAACAAAAATCACTTGACAGATGCTGTGGCCTTCACCATCCCGTTTCCAATGCCAGAATCCTTCAATTGGTGTATTGTGCTTGCTTTGCACTTGCTTTGATGATGGCCACTTATCTAGAGTGTAGTAGGTGGCTGCATCTAAACTGAAAAGTGGAGCTGTAATGTCAGTACCCGCACAGCAAGTGTTCATGGCAGCGAATCATATCACCGACTTCTGAACCTTTATCTGTCGTAAGTTGAATGGATACACCTAGGTCCACATTGGTTAATACAAACCAAAGACAATGATAAAGGATTACTTACAGCCATAGTCTTCAACAAAATCAAGGAATACATGCCCGATGATGTTCAAAAGCCTCACATTAGGCAATACATGTATGTACAGTACAAACATTGAAAATTGATCCTTGAATGCATAGATCAGCAAAGTTACATCTCCCATCCACGGAGCTTGAGTGGCAAGCTTCTCGTGCCCATCTGCATGCTGCTGATGCCAAGGCCCAAGGCCCAAGGCAGTTCAATGGGATGCAATCAATTGCATCTTTCAAGCCAACAAACCTGGCATTAAATTCTGCATCAAAATGGTCATGAAGTATTTGCCTGACTTTGTCACTGTTAGATTTAATATAATCAATGTCTCACTGCAGTGGGTGTAGAGTATATGAAGCTCACTGCTTCACCAAGGTGCCTTCATTGGCTAACCTCTGACAAACTTGTGCAACACCCCACTTTCCAGCAAGGTCATGATGTTTTGCATCAATGACAGCTTGTACTCACTCAGCAGCTGTGGTGTTGACATTTCTCTGTACACTTTCAATATCAAGTTGCTTTCAGATCTTAAAGAGCTTGCACTGTCTTTACAATTGATAGTTTTGTTAGATATTGGTTGAAGAATGACAATGTGCTCACTTAATGTGAAGACCAAACTCCTTTTCTAGGTGAGCTAGTTGTTCATTTGCATTCAGGCCAGACCCATTGTAGGACTTGGAGTCCTTGTAGCCTTGTAGAGGCTATTTTCACAGCATCCCTTAGGTCCTCGCGTTGCGTGCACTATTGCTAATGTGGCGCACATCCTTTCCGTTATTGGCTGATAGCTGCGGCTCATGCACGCGCATCGGCTCACGTCAGCTTTTCTTTGGCTCCATTGCACATCCTTCCCCCATCCTGTCCATGTCCTCTGCTTGTCCATTGGTGTGTATTTAACCCCATTTGCATTAGACTGATCATATTTCTGAAGCTATATCATTTATATTTTCATTACTTGTGTTATGGACCCTTGTTACATATTACCGCTACCTACTCAGCTCTGAACAGCGCTTCGGCGCACTCTCATATATACTAAGTACTTATGATTTTCATGTATCTTTTTTCCATCTTTTTCCTGCATCGAAATTATCATCCATTTTCATGCAACACTTAGACTGAAAATCTAAACCTTCGGCATACTACCGCGCGCACATCTCTAACAGCTGTGCTAACATCCATATCTCATTCATCGCATCTATCATTTAACACCAGTCCATGGCATAGTAATGCATTAAGTCTGCTACTTAGAAGAGTGAACTCTTGCATTAACATTGCTCGTTAGTAGACTGGTGACCAGCCCGTCTAATGAGGCAAGCCGTCGATAGACAGACTGGTAAAACTGAGTTTGAATTTGGATCAAGAGTGGATTGTTGGAGTAATGTGACGAATAAGCCTGTTTAGGAATATCAGAAACCACGTGAGCTTTTGCTAACTCATTGCTAAGTCTTGTTGTAGTACATTGTCATTTGTGATCGACGTCGACATTCGAGTATGCTCAGTTGCCAGCTACCGGGCAGCTTCATCCATCCACCCCTTCATGTGTATATCTATTACTTTCTGCTACTGCTATCACTTGCTCTTTGGCCAATAACTCCAGTCAGAGCTTGAAATCAGGATGCAAGGTTCTTCGAGGATTCTGGATGCCGACTTCAATCGTTCTGTGGACTCTGGCTTCGTCGATATCACAGTGGGTGATCCACCAGATGTCTCTTCTATGGCTGCAGCCCCTTCCCCACAACTCTCCTCGCACGAACGCATCAAGTCTGCTGTCAAAATTCTTCGTGATGGCCGCATATCAATCATAGGCTTCATGCTCACCATCCTTGACCCTTCAGAACTCGATTTTGCCTACAATCGCGACTGGATTTATAACTGTTCTAGGCAGGAGAAGGAAACTGTTATTGGGCAGGGCAAAAAAGGCAAACTCGAGAAGATGTTCGACCACTTATTTGCAGACTCGTGTGGTTGAGCTCGGATACTGGACTGGTTCCATCCGCACGCAATTGCCTATGTGTCTGATACTGTCAGTAACGAGATGGATATGGTGAAGGAAGCTCTCCGCAGGACACTCGACTCTGTAACCCCAGAGTTTCTATCAACATGGGACCTCAATTCAACCATGCGAAATGTTGTTGTGCCGAAAGCACCTGTTCTACACCATATCCTTCGCTGTGCAGCTCAGTCTGATAATGCGAGGGAAAAGAATAAGATCAAGGATTGCAGTACTGTATGATGCACCATGTTTTTGTTGTTGTTACGTCTTTTGAATTGATGAATCTTGACTTCTTAAAGGCTTGCAATGTCATCATCACACAGCTTGCCTCCCAGCGCTCACATCACAGCACCTTTATTACAGCTCCTTTCACACTATTTCTGTGGACAAACGGGGCTTCAAGGCAAACAATCGAAGCCCTATACAAATGTGGCCTCTGCATCTTGTTCACATCCCTCTTCACACTGCTCGAAAAGCTTGCTGCACGCTGCATTGAACATGCAAGACTGCTCGCCCGTCAGCCACATGTTATGTGCTATGACAATATCAATATAAGCACATCCATCTTCATTGAACAACGATCTGATGCTCCAGCGAAGGTCCAGTCTGGAACCTTTGCCATTCTCTATGAAGTCCGTAATGGTAATCCAGAACACATGCGCCTCTCACCGATGTTGAACCGTGCCCTTGATGCTACAGAGATTTCATTTGCAACTGATGTTCGTCCTACCCGCGATCAGATGAGTTCATTCCGAAGTCAACTCCACATTCATGTTATCGAAATTTTGCTTGCGAACTGCTCGAACATTGCAGATTACGATCGGTCAATGCTATGTCACGGCGAACATTGCAAAATGCCTCAAGGCTATTGGACCAAACAATTGCCCTTGCAGACCTCCACTATTGATGAAAGTTCCATCACCGGAAACATTGCAGTCATCCACAATGTCTACATAAATCAATTACAGATGCAACATCATGAATTATCAGATCGAGCCATTCCTAGTTTCAATGACCAGTCTACCAATGCTCGCATTTGAGGAGCGAAAATGTTATGGGTCAAAGATGTTAATCCCTTCACTCGTCTTCAGGTCATTCAACTTGGATTTGGCCTGTTCCACCTCTGTCTTAACCTTGTCTGGGCACTCCTCCATGTTCATCAAGGATCTATTCATTAAATTGGTAGCCTCTCGTATTTCTTCACTCTACTTGATTGAACACGACTTGAATGCAAACACCCAGACTATCACACCCTTCTTGCGACACTGATGCAGATTCTACGAGGCATCATCATGAATGCCTGGCACAAGGAGTGTGGGCACATTTCATTAGCTTCTTTTGCTTCTTCAGGACCTACTGCCGATGACCTACTTGAGATTGCAGACAAGATTCTTGTCACACATGCTACACCCATTCACGAGCCTTCCAAGAAGAAACGAACCAATAAAACCCTATTTGAGATGGATTCTGAACCCATGGATACAGCACATCGCAACCTGCAGCTTTTGACCCATGATCTTCTCTACGTTCTAGAGCTAACTAGCGCTATCTCGCATGGTGACTGGGGCTGCATTGAAGACATCCTTGGAACCCTGGCAATGATATTCCGTGGCGCTGGATCAAACAACTACTGCTCCGAAATCCTTCATTTTATCTTCAACCTTAAGAAGATCTGGACTCCCGAATTCACGTGCGATTTTACTTTTGCTTTTAAATCATTTTGACATCATTTTAAATTTGAACTTATGATCCAACAGGAACATTATGCGAGACAATGCACTCGTCAACCTGACTGGCCTCAAAGGACATTGCATGCCTATCAATCTCAATATTGAACACCTCATCAAATTTTTGAAGGCATGTTTAGCTGTGTATCTGAATGGTCCGTCCTTGATTGATGAACTGTGCTGTTATACTGTAAAGCTTTTTTTTTCACAAAGGGCATCTACTCTACATGGGATCGTCTTGGCGACATATCAGTGACTGTTTCCCTACTACAAAACATCAAAAAGCAAGTTGGACGTGCACTCGGTATTGCCTAAATCACACAACTCCCAATGCAACACCTTCTATCTGGAGAGTTGCAAACAAAGTTCAAGAACTAGGTCTCCACATGTTCAACCAGGATCGCGAGGAGAATGATTCAGTGAAGCCTGTCGTAGATGTACTTGCAGAAGGCGAATAGAAACTCAAGTCTTTGACACTTTCAACATTCAATAGAAAGGTGCGGGAAATGCTGGCAGGCAAAGGATACAAGCAAGAGGAAGACGAGTTTCCAAGGGCTGCTTTTGACTTGACTAGTACTACAGAGGATGGCTGAATGATATCGAAGTTATGCAGTTACACTGGTGTGAGTTTTTTTGGCTAGGTGGGAGTGTGAACCTGTCACCACATTTTCCTCATCAAACTGCGCAATCACTTTGAGTATCTGCTGCCCACAATCTTTTCCCCATTCCTCCGTCTCCTCCAGAAGCTGGATAATGTTGTCAACCATCCTCAAGTTGTCTGGATTTGTCTTGCTAAGGATCTCAAGACTGTTGTCGTTGCATAGCCATGTAATTGGCCAAACAGATCGTAGAGGATCATTGAAGTGCATGTCTGTTCTCCATTTCGTCAACTTCTCCAATAATGGCTTGTGGAGCTCCTTGTCTCATAGTTTGGTTCGTTTTCTTTTTGTGGTGACAGTTGGTGGTGTGTTGTTGGTATCTTCTGATGTGTACATCTGACCTAGCAAATATCTAGAAAGGTTGAAATCATCGTCGGAATGCCGGTCACAACATTTCATTGCAATGCAGTGTAATGCTTTGCACGTCAAGAAATCATTAGTAGGATAAAGTTGATCACTTGGAGACATCACCTGTAGGTGTTTGATCATCAAGATACTTTGCAAAAACTCTCTAAGGCAGATTGTTGACTGTGCATAACAAAGTGCAGCACAACCAGTTCGGTCCTTCTTTGATGAGTTCTTCTTGAGAATTGCTGCATATGGCTTGTCTGGATCACAGTTATCATCATGCTCATCTGTCAATTCAACCTCTAGAGCCCATGTCTCAACCATAATGAGATAAAGGCCACACAAGTGTCCATCTCGCACAGCACAACCACCTCGCTGTGCAGCTTCAGACATGCTCTTTGGGATTCCGTACTGTATCACAATCATTACACCTTGGATATCAAGACCCTGATGTGGGTTCGTAAATAACACGCACAAATGAAATACAAGAAGTCAAAATATCTCACTGTTGATGCACCAGCTGTAGCATGGATGATGCGGCATGTTCCTGTGGTTGATGCAAAGTCATTGTACATCTGTTGGAGGTATTCTGTAGACATGTCACTGTGGTAGTGTTTTACGATTCCTTGATTTTGCAATGCTTTTGGAAGGCGCAAGTCATTGTAAGCTGCAGCTGCAGCAGCTTCTTGCTTGTTGTCGTGGAATATCAATGTCTTCGGAATCATCATGGGCGGGGCATAGTTTTCTGGAATGAGGCAATCGAAGTTGTGAAAGTTATGAAGGCTGCCAACAACAGGAGTTGTTGCATAAGTAATGTTCAGCCGATTTGTAGACAGTGCTAGTGATACATGATCTGGTGATATCATCAGCTCATGCCATACAGTTGAGAGAATATGAGGGGGGAGTGTTGCTGAGAGTGCTTGGAATGTTGTTCCCTTGCAAAGTAGCACATGTAGTTCTCCAAGCTTGCTGTATGCAGGTCTAAATGCTTCTTCACCATGATGTGGCAGCCCTGCAGTATGAATATTGTGGGCTTCGTCGATATGCACGCGCTTAATTCATTGAGTGAAGCTGTGATCTTGTCGAATGAGTCGTGCAAGACGTGGAAGATGCCCATTGAACATAGATAGCTGCTCAGGTGAAACAATGAGATGCGAGAATTTTCTGATGTGAATGTCCTAGTTTATTGCTTCTTGTAAGTCTCAAAATACTGTGCAAAGATGCATGGACAAGTATTGACAATTACCTCCCAAAGAAATGAATCATTCAGGGTATCCTCATTGATAGATAGTGTAGCAATGCCATACTTCATAGACTCACGGACCTGCCACTGTATAATTCTGTGCGCAGATTCAATAATTTAGTGGCCTTACCTGGGTGGTCTGGAGGCATTTGAGAGGTGAGACAGTCATGCTCATGGTGCCAGGATGGAGTAGAATAGGAATGATGATGCACATAGTCTTACCACTGCCTGTGCCTGCAGTTATCAAGCTATCTCGACCATTTAAAGTTGCAAGAGCTGATTCGAGCTGAAACTGACGTGGAGCGATGGTCGTCACTGTGAGCACATACACAATTAAGCAAGCTTGTAATGCATCCACTCTGTCGTTATTATTGAGAGTCTGGATGTAGTCAATAGGAAGTCGTTCTTTGGGAAGATCACGCGCGAACACATCCAGCATGTCGAGGGATGCATTGTGGATTCCTTGGATGAGTGTGTGATGATCCATCAATTTTGCAGCAGGAAAACATGTCGTGTCACAGCAATGATGAAAATTATCTCATTAATTTTGTTTTTGAAAAAAAAACATGGTTTTCTCATTGGCCAGAGGTCACGTTACTCTAACAATCCGCTCTTGATCCAAATTCAAACTCAGTTTTACCAGTCCATCTATCGATGGCTTGCCTCATCAGACGGGCTGGTCACGAGTCTAGCTCGTTAGCATGTAATATGATGCATGACAATGTGCTCACTAGCAGACAGTGCCTGCCTGTCTAAGCCTGCCTCTCGTATGTACATAGAACTGATCTCGCACTGGATCTACTGTATTGTTGTACCTTGCAATCGTATTCATCAGATCTCAGATGGTGCTACTATTTATACTAATCGATACAATGATACTACCAAAGGAGCAATCGCACTGCCTGACACTTCCGCCCATGCGCTCACTATGCTCAATGATGAGCACATATTTCTCAGGCATTTGGTGGCAGCCCGTGGCCCGGCCTGGGGCAGAGTCAAAGCTGCGTCTCGGCTCGGGCCCATCACGGCTTTTGAAACAGAAAACGACTAAAAACGATTAAATTGAACATACTATCATGCTGACGGATGGGATGCAAAACAAACTCACTTTCGTGTGCTTCACAGGCCCAAATATGACAGCACCCTGCTCAAGTTCGGAGGATCGACACAATCACAGGCTGTGAATGGTGGGCAACGACTTTGATCAGCATGGCTCAAGCTCAAATGAGGATCGACACACTCATAGACTGCGAACGGTGGGCAACGGCTTTGATCAGCATGGCTCGAGCTCGAATGAAGATCGACACGCTCACAGACTGCGAACGGTGGGCAATGACTTGAATCAGCATGGCTCGAGCTTGAATGAGGATCGACACGCTCACAGACTGTGAATGGTGGGTGGTAGAGTATGCGAGGTTGATGTCCTGTGATAGTTTGAATAATAAGATGATGCTCCAGAGGCAAGCAGAATTAGTACTCACAATCAAGATCATGTCATTCATGGCGAAGAGAGTATTGAATGTAAAGAACTGGCTGGAAGCAGCCCGTTTGCAGTGTCACCTGAGCCGAAGGGTATTGGGAACTGCATCGGAGGCAGGAAATTGAAAAGAGACTGAAGGTGCTTGTTTGGAGGCATGTGCATGAGTCTGGGATTTATAAAAAGGTCGGAGGGTGTCCTTTAGCAGTTCAGGCAATGTTCGAATGCAAAATGTGATCGGAGGAATGTTATAGAGGGCTAGATGTAGAGGTTGGTGAATGTAAGGGCACATGTGACTCCAGCACCAGTTGGAGAATTATTACTAATAAATCTCCAATCACCCGTTCAATCATTGCTCACACTGGTGAGCTTTAGAAGTCATACAAATTGTACCTAGATACTCAGTAGGCATACAATACTGTACATAAAAGACATCTTTATGTACTCAGTCAATGATATAGCTCGAGCTCTGCCGGTCATAAGCCTAGTGCCAGTACTAGTGGACACTGACTCGGAGGCATAGCTTCGAATTCTCAGGACAATTATTTGAATTTCTTTTGCAGTGTAAGGATATGAGCTCCCGAGCTTCAAACATATTGTAGATACATAAATTTAGATTGTTAGAGCATATTTTAAATTTACCAGGCTATATTTCAAGTAGCAAAAAATGCGAGCCTGTCTATGTTTTTTTAGCTGGGGTGCACCGTGCAACTGCAATACAACCTTCCAGATGACAAAAGCTGTACATTAGGTTGCTAAGTTTACATTTATACAAGTTACACTACTAGTAGTACCTATATGCAAGAGAATAGCAAAGAGAATTCTGTGGTGAAGCAGGATGGAGAACGGAGGTATGAAATAGTGGGACACCCAAATGCAGATATGTTTTTTGTCGAAGCAAGGAAGCAAGGAAGCAGCGGGTTCCAATTCAGGGGAAAGCCAGCGAAGTGGGAAGAAGCAAGGCACACGAGGCATGATGAATCTCGATGCCAGGGATGTAACTCAAAATGATGATGTAATGTAATGCATCACATTCCCTATTAGGATGACTGTTATGCACTCAAATAGATCTGTTAGGCGGAGCCCTAAGAGGGGCGTCGTCCGCTAACGTTCGTGACATAACCGGAAGGATCCGGTATAGCAAGTGAGACTGGCGACGACGAGTCGGCAGTGATCACAGTACGCGCGTGTCACGTGACTTCTAAGACAGATGTCTATGAAGTCGCTCAAGGTAAGGACTGTCTTGTCCGAACGATGAGGTCGATCGAGGTAGACTTAGTCACGATGAGCAACTAAGAAAGATACTAGAGACTGAAGCCAAAGGGGCGTTCAGAGGGAAGTATGTTCCAGGGAAGATTGAGTAGATTCAAGTTAGAGAATCTAGTACAGGGTGACCGACTACTTATACTAAGTGGAGAGGGTTAAGGGCAAGGCTACCGCACAGTAGGTAAGGGTAAAGGGGAAACGAGAATGGTATAGGTGCATTGGCAACAGAGCCAGATTAGTGATGGATGGTCGAATGTGGAATGAGACCGAGAAACGTTGGAACGGACCAACGGTAAGAATACAACGTGTGGGAATCTGCAGTCAGAAGGAACAGAAAGGGAAAGCCACATTGGTGGCACGAGTCAGACCGAGTCATAGGTGCGGGACCACATTGGTGGTCGAATCATTGGAGGAACGTGTGTGCACGTGCATAGAGGCGGACAATGCGAGGGACGGGAACGGTCCCAAGGATCCGGTCAACGGAAAGTCGGTAAAGGAGGACGAGCCAGTAGATGGTGAGGGCGAGGATGAAGGGAAAATGATAGGGGGGCCACGTGACCGATGTTACTTGTAACATTACCCCCGTTTCAAGGCTCAAGCTCAACGAGCTTTAATCATCCTGGTTGTCGTACCAGCTGGGGTCGAAGTCGAGGTCGGCAAGCCATTCGGCGGCCTTGAGTGCGTTCTCCTCGTGTTCTTGTTCGACGCGGGCGGCTTCGTGATCATACGCTTCTTCAAGCTTGCGCATGTCAGAATAGAATCTGTCCGAGGAGGGTCCTCAGCGCAGCAGTTTCCGTCCATCGAGTTGTGGACAGAAGGGGGTGAGGTGTTTTGAGGCAAATTGCCCACAGATGCGGCAGAAGTACTGAGCGCAGTGCTTCTGTTTATGGCCGTATACACGGCACTGGCGATAGATCACGTTGGAACGGTAGATCTGGGTGGTCTCGGTGGCCTCAATGCAGGCACGGTTCAGAGCGTCGCCCTGAGCGTCTTCACGGGTATAGTGCCTCGTAAAGTTCTGGGTGCGTGGGCGGTGTGCGTGGGAGAGGGAAAGTCCGAGGGCGAGCACAGATTGTGCACGTGTGCGTCGTCCACGATGTCGTGGGGTAGGAAGGGGGTTTGGGTTCTCAACCGGAGAACCAATGGTCAAAGGGGGTACGTCCCGAGTGGGCACGAAGTCGTTGGGGGCGATGGTGGGAGCAGGGTGAGATTCGTCTGCTTCGGGGATGGTGACAGGGGAGTCATGTACTTCGAGGAAGACAATAGTGTCTGCCTCAGGGGTGGGGTTACGTGGCGCATAGCGCTCATGTTCGTATTCCTCATAGAGGCGGTTGATCTCTGGGTTTGTCAGCTGAGTGACGTTGGGGACGTGTTCGTCGTCGGATTCGACGGCTGGTTGCGGGTGGAAGGGGGTTGGAGCTCTGTCACTGACAGCACGCTCGGCGACGGCGACAGGGTCGGGAGGGGGATTGAATGCCCACTCCTCCTCGACGGCCAGTACAACAGACTGGAAGTTCCTAAGTTCGAGCAGGTTTAGTAATGCCTGCTTGATTTTACCCTGGTTGTAGCGGGTGGAGATGGTGGAGAGGGTGGTATCCCTCTGAAGGTCAATCCTGGCGATGTTGCCAGTAAGGGCATCCGCACTTCGGAAGGCGTTGATGATATTGTAGGTGACATCATCGTCGGTGCAGGCGAGGTAGTTGTCAATGTGAAGGGCATACTGAGGGTCGCAGATTACTGCTTCCCAGTAGGTGCGCGTCCTGTCTTCTTGGACAGAGCGCAGGGAGGGTCGTCAGTATGGGGTGAAGGCGGGCCTTTCAAGGCCAGGCGGTTGTCGGGGTGTCTGGGTCGGGCTGTATACAGATGCAGGAGAGGAAGCGGAAAGGGGAGAGGAAAGCGATGATGCTGAAGCCGACATATTTGAGGGGCTTTCCTTGGGTATTGGCATAGGTAAATTCTTGGGTGACGGGACGGTATCTGTCGAGGGGTTTGGTGGAACGATGTCGGTTACGGATCTGTTGTCAATGGAAATATTCAGGGGTCTGAGGCAAGGGTTTGTCGCGGGGGGAGGTAGAATAGTGAGCCTTGGTATGGAACCGTTTGGTTCTGTGGTTGCGGTGTCGTTCTTGTAGAGGAGCTATGGTGGTAGCAGATCAACAGTTGATGGCGATTGAAGCGATCTTGAGTCGCTTCTTATACGCCTTCAGCAGCTCCGCTGCGGACTTCAACTCCTTTTCGGGGAGCCACGTTCGTTCGGAGGGTGGGTAGCCTACCCAAGACATGAGGTATCGGCGGCGCGCACCGGTACCCTTGTGTTGGAGGATAGCTTCCACTTCATAGTGTTCCTCCCCATCGATCAGGTCAGGGGGAGGTTCGGTGAAATTCGGGCCATGCACGTCCGTCTCCTGATAGGAGGAAAGTTCCGAGGCATGGAACGTGGGGTGGATACGCCAGCTGTCAGGCAGCTTGAGCTGGAACATAATGGGGGAGAGGACCTTCTGGATTGGGAAGGGTCCATATCGTTTCGGGGCGAGTTTCCGAGAAGGGAACCCGGTGATCAGATTCGTGGCAGATAGCCAAACTTTATCACCAACATTCCATGGCTTGTAACGCTGGCCAAAGGAACGATCAGCCATGCGTTGCTGCACAAGGCTGTGACATGCGAGGGCTTCCTCGCGGATCTTGGTGAGGGACTT